CTATCGATATGTAGACGACATAATTATTTGCTGGACTGGCACAAGGAGACAACTGGATGTTTTCCTCAATAAAATAAATAGAGTCCATGACAAAATTAAATTTAAACTTGAATTGGAACAAGATTGTTCCCTTAATTTTCTTGACTTAACAATAACAAGAAAAGAATCGTCACATGTTTTCCAAATTTATCGAAAGCCAACTCACACCGACACGGTCATCCCCGCGTCATCATGTCATCCATGGCAACATAAAGTAGCCGCTTTTTATTGTTACATTAACCGTTTGTGCACTGTCCCATTAAGTAAAGAAAATTATTTAAAAGAACTTAATATAATTTATCAAATAGCGGTCTCTAACGGTTTTTCAAAAAATCTCATTAACAATTTAATTAAAAAGAAACAAAAGCATGTTATTCGCAACTCTCTGTACGCGGTACAACCTCAAAGTATTCATCGATATGTGAGCAGTTTGACCTACTTAGGTCCCATATCTGAAAAAGTAGCTAATACTCTTCGAAAAAACGACGTTCATGTGGCGTTCAAAACAAACAATTCTCTTAGAAATATCTGTAATAGTAAAGATAAGTTGGATGTTCGTCAAAAGTCAGGTGTTTACAAACTTGTTTGTGACGAATGCCACGCCGTTTACGTGGGTCAGACTGGTCGCAATTTCGAGACACGTTATAAAGAGCACTTAGCCGCGTACAGGAATTGTAATCCCGATAAATCCCGTTTTGCAAAACATCTTTTGGACACTGGACACAACCTAGCCAACGACCACTCCTTTAAAGTCTTACATACGTGTAATAAAGGGCTACGGCTGTGTGTGCTGGAACAGTTAGAGATATTAAAAAGTAATAATAATACCGTTGCATTGCTGAATGAACAAACAAATGTTACTAACTCACCTCTCTTAAATATCTTCAAGCCTGCTCTCTAATAATGTGGGTGTTGCGCGGCGGTTTGTTTTTTAAATTTACAAACGGCTGCGTAAGTCCAGCGGTGATTGGTCGCATGTTTTATCGCATGACGCAGTCGCTCGCTCCTTAGGTAGAGAGCGGTTGCATCGTCGATTTGTATAAAAGGCACTTGTTTTGGCTCGCCGCTCACTTAGCGGTTAGCCACCGTAGAGTCTATATCACCTGAGGATGCCTCGTGTAGAGGCGAAACTTGTGTCGTATTATCGTCAGTGGTGTGTCTTGCCTAGTGTAGTGGTGTTGGGAGTAGCGGTGCTGGGATTAGTGGTGACGGGGATAGTGCACGCAATTGAGGGAGGGCGGGAGGTGCTTCTTCATACTAGGTAAGACACATCATTTTATTTTATAACGCGGATATTTGCGAAGTAAATTTTTGTAAAAGCTTTTATATAATGGATTTCCGCAAAGTAACGCCTGATTCTATTAATTAGATTTTTCTAACACCTTTAATACCGTTGACCATGATATTCTCATTACCATCTTGTCCTATATAGGTTTTTCTTTATCAGCACGGAATTGGGTTTCCTCCTATATTCGTGGTCGCCAGCAGGCGATCCGTGTCGACGGTATGGTGTCCGATTGGTGTGACTTAACCACTGGTGTTCCGCAAGGCGGAATTCTCTCTCCATTACTTTTCTCTATATTTATTAATATGATTACTTGCAACTTTCGTATCCCTTACCATATGTATGCCGACGATTTACAACTGTATGCTTATGCCGGTGCTACGAACATAAATAATGCTGTAACATAAATAATACTGTAATCGTAATTAACTCCTATCTTAATTGGATTCTTAATTGGTCAAGTAGGTACGGGGTCACTGTTAATCCCAGCAAATGCCAAGCTATAGTCTTAGGCAGCACACGTCAATTAGGTAAACTTAATCATACATCATTAGATCCACTGATTTATAATGGCGAGGTAATTAACCTTGGATTTTTCTCTTACTTGGCGCAGTCATGTTGAGGAAGTTAGCCGTAAAATTTGTACTACTTTGAGACAATTGTACCGATTTAAAAATATATTACCGCCTTGTACGAAGAAAATTCTAATTCAATCCCTTATTCTTCCTTATTTGATTATGCCGATATGTGTTACTTAGATGCAGACAATTAATAGGATCGACTTCTCAACAACTGTATCCGTTTCATTTACGGTCTTCCAAAGTATGACCACATCTCTTTCTATCGCTCTCAACTTAAATGGTTAAATATCCCACAACGCAGGAACCTTAGAATTCTTAGCACTCTTTTCACTATCTTTAACGATCTATTGGCCCCAGAGTATCTGATATGTAAGTTTCAATACCTGGGTTCTTCCCATGATTGCAATCTTCGCTCTCATAACAATCAGTATGACTGAAAATTCCCTCTCACCGTACTGGTTTCCTCTCAAACTCTTTCGCTGTTACAGCTGTACGACTCTGGAATGCGCTTTCCTTAGCAATAAGAAAATCCCCTAATAAGTGGATTTTAATACAAAAGTAAAGGAACATTACTTGGGCTCATCTGACACATAAATATATTATCTGTTATATCCCTATATATGTTTAAATAAGTTTGATCCACATGTATGGGAGTGTGTGTGTGTGTGTGTGTGTGTGTGTGTGTGTGTGTGTGTGTGTGTGTGTGTGTGTGTGTGGTGTGTGTGTGTGTGTAAAATTTATCAATTTTAGGTTATTAATAGGTATTATAAATGTGTGCCTGCGACTTCGTTCGTACAGAATCTTTTTTTTTCGCCTGCCTGCCTTTTTGCATTAAAATAGCACTACACCATCTATCGATGACGCTGCTTAACTATTGTACTTTTATACTTACTAAGACCGTATGGATGGATAATCATAAATATTTGTGAGAAAACATATCCTTTTTTTGTTTACTGTATTTTAATCAGAAGTATATCATTACAGAACATTATTTTACATCATTTAATTGCGATTTTTCAGATTAGATTAAAATGCACATGATGACTCCCACCACCATTGAATAAATTCGAACCTATATTTCGTACCCTAACTTCAGAATATTAATCATAATTTTTGATAGAATGAACTGATTTCAACACTTAAATCCTAACCGTCCCTGGAGAAACACTGTCAATATATATTCGAAGAGTTCCAATAGTCACTCCATAAAGTCCAAGACGTATTTAAGTGTATTTATATATAAATGCTACTTACTTTTAGCGAAACAAAATATTGTAATAAAAATCTGTGATTATAAAAATACAATCATTTATCTTTCTGACAATCTGTTTTTTTATATAATTTATGTGTACAATATGATTGTTAGATACAATTTCATTTTTTTTATATGATAGGGTGACAAACGAGCCCACAGTCCACCTGATGGTAAGTGGTTACTGTGGCCCATAGACATCTACATCTATCCTCAATAAAGACTCAAGATGCAGATGCGTTGTCGCCTGTGAGGACTAAGATGGAATGTCTCTTTGCCAGTAAAAAGGGTCTCCGGTTCTCTACACTCACCATACGAAACACAGCAGCATTAAGCTGCTATTTTACGCTGGTTTTCTGTGAGAGCGTGGTCCTTTTCCGGTCGAGCCGACCCATTCGTGCTATAACTATATTACTAATATAGCTGCAGCATGGCTCTACCACGTAAAAACATTCATGCGACAAAACGTTGCAATCTTAATTTGTAGGCGCGCTTAAGGCATGCAATTGTTATTTTTCAAAGTAATCGCCTTTTAAGCTAATACACCTTGAGTAGTGTTTTGCAAATTGGTTAATTCTCTTGAAAAATAAGCCTTCACCCAGACTCAAAAAAGACCTCTACAGCACACATTACCTTTTCGTCGCCATCGAATTTTATACAACGCAAGTGCTTTTTCAAGTGAGTAAAAACATGAAAATCATTCAGAGCTAAGTCCGGAGAATATGGTGGGTGCTGCATCATCTGAAACCCAGCAATTCGGATGGCAGCGCCTACATTATTATGATGAAAAAGCGCTCCAGTACGCAATTTTCTCCGACGTTTCTTCTTTAGTTTTTCGCGTAGTTTTTGATTTATGATGTGTTGGTTGGTTTAGTTTTAGTTTTTCATCTCCGGGTAAAAATGGTGTACCCACGTTTTATCTACGATTACGAAACGAACGCAAAAATAATCTGCATCTTCTTCAATTATTGCCAAATTTTACTTTGAAATGTCAACACTTGCTTTCTTTTGGACGTCTGTTAACATTCAAGGAACACAGCGCGCGGCCATTTTTTAAGTTTTAAGGTATGAGTTAAAATAAACTGAATTGTCCCTAACGAAAGTTTATAATCTCACAGCTAAATAACGATGCTAACATGTTGACCTAGCTTAATAATTTCCTCCATTTTTTAACGTTTTCTTGTGTAGTGGCCGTTGTTGGCCGCCCGGAGCGAGTGTCGACATTGCAGGCGGTTCTGCTGCGTTTATATTCAGCGCACCAGCATGCTTTTTGTAGATTTTTTTCTTCAAGCAGTAATATTTAATAACCACACGAAGATAGAGGTATTGTTTTTAATTTAGTTTTTTCTGGCCTTTCCTACTAACGTATTTAAGATTCGGCAAAAATAGAACGCATTTCTATAACTTATTTATACGTGTTAAATTCAAATTCAAATTCTTTATTTGCAAGAAACTCAGTTGACAGGGTCTTAAGTTAAATATTTATAATGTACATGTGTTTAGTCTGCTCGCGGACGTGCAAATATTTAAGTGCATAATACCTATTCCGAAAATATATTGATCAGTCTAGTATGTACTGATTGTAGCCGGTAAATTGTTATGAACGATTCAATACCAAAAGGAAGGATGAAAGGAAATCGATGGATGCCGGTGCTTTGTGGCATTCCTTGGGGGAGGCTTATGTTCAGCAACGAATTAGTTATGAACTTTAATAGTAATGGTGATAGTATATGAAATTCTTTAACTGGAAGTTTCTAGTTTGTGTTGATCGAATTAGAATCTTATTTTAATATCTTGATACTTTTAAAATAATATCTTCATCAGGATTATTTAACCTTTTCAGCATACTTAAGTAACCTTCAAGGCAAATTTAGAGGCAAGATTGCTAAACGAACTGATGAAAGAGTTAAAGTGATGAGTGAACTCGTGAACGGAGTCCAAGTCATAAAGATGTACGCTTGGGAGAAACCCTTTGAGAAGTTGGTGGATAAACTAAGAAGGTATTGTGACGACGCATTATTAATATTAATAAATAATAATTAAATTCAATATATAAACATTTAAAAATATCACAGATATTTTGTACAATTAAAATGCATGAATAAACATAAAATTGAAATACATTAATTTCGAACATTAGGTATTATAGTATACAGTAAAAGCATAATATTGCCTTTAAAAATCTTTAATTTTATTAAAACTGCTTAAAATATTTAAAATGTATTATAGAAATACAGGTCGATTATATTACAATAATAAACATAAATAACGTTTGTAATATAATTGGAAAAACGTTTTAATGAGCGGGTACTTGTAATGATGCAGCGTGTCCTTGTATTACTGGAGTATTCATGTAATGATTGCTTATATGAGGGAGTTGCCGGAGACGCATACCCAGGGTCGTACATATATATGCGGTGGTCGGGTGCGTGACTACTATTATTGCACCGTTGCCAATGTATAGTCCTATATTAGGGACTTTTATAGTAAGGTTTATGATACAAAAGCATTAATATGGAAGGTCTTTTAGATGCATAACCATTATGATAGCAGAGTTGTGGATTGAAGTCTCATATATAAAAGGTATATATAATAGTAAGGTCTATGAAATAAATTATATAAATATGGAACGTCTCCAATATGTAAAAGCTTTATATAGATAGAAATGGAACTTGAAGAGGATTATTAAACTGGCGTGTAGATTGTTTCACAGCATCCGAGACCGAGGTAAACTTGGACCCGCTAACCGATGTGTCCTATAATAACAAAATTATTTCATAATCAATGTAACTGGAGAATCTAGCGATATTGATTAGTGATTTAAGTAATTTTAAGAAAATTTGTTTCCATTAAACTTAATTAAATGTTGGAAAAAAAAATTTTTATTCCACTGTGAATACACCTTTACCCTGTAGTTGCACTGATGACTCACTATTTTCTTAACGCGAACGGACTATAGTCATATCATCTTAATGCCGGTGGTAAGCGGGTTTATTGTAGCAATATAACTTGTCCGTGGACATCGCACACCCCTACCGATTGTGGGCGGCATCTTAACGCATAGCGATGTATCATAACATCTGCTATCTTAGGGTGAGCGTGTTTGTTAATACTTTTAAGTAGAACAAGCATACTCAAATCCGTGTCTTAGTGTAATAGCGCTATGATAAGTGGATTATTTTGCTACTGGCGTCTTAGTAGCGTGCTATTATGATACGTTTATGCTATTTTAGTTAATAACTTAATTCAATGAAATTTTATTGTATACCTAAGGTTTCCATATATAATAGAAATTAAACCATTAAATTAAATTTGATTGTATAAGTAAAATATAAAATATAAAATCAGGTGATTGGTAGATTTATGCCTTAGCCGCGGAAATTTCTATAAAATACATTTATTATTCGGACTTTACCACATTTACCCCGCAAGGCGACAAAGTTATATACATAATACATAAACACTCACGCCTGTCACCTAGAGGGGTAGGCAGAGATTATGGACTTCCATTTGGCACGATCCTGACACACCTCTCTCGCTTCCTCCACATCCATATACCTACGCATACACGCTCGTCGGTTAAAGGTACTCTTGATATGGCCCATTTTTAATATATCGCCAATTTGGTCGATAAACTTTCGCCTAGGGCGACCCTACCCGACTATGCCGTTCACCTCTGCAACATAAATTTGCTTTGTCACTCACTCTTTCCTCATACATTTTTTTTTCTACATGGCCAAACCACCGAAGCATTCCTTTCTTAATCCATGTCACAACATCATCTTGCAAACCACACTCTTCTCTTATTAAACATTTTCTCACTCTGTCATTCAGATTCATCCCTAACAAACTCCTTAATGACCGCATTTCTACAGCATTTATTCTACTCTCGTGCTTCTTCTGCCACACCCAACTTTCACTACCATACATTAAAGTAGGTACTAACACAGCATTGTGAATTGCCATACGTGCCTTTTTGGACACATTCTGACTTTTCACAATAGAGTGTGAAGCCCCATTCGCTCTATTTATATCCTTATTATATCTACCATCCCTGCTAAACACACATCCCAAATATACAAACTCATCTACTTGCTCTACCAACTCCCCTTCTGTTCTTATTTCACATATCGTTTTACTTTCTTCTCTTTCAAAAACCATAACTTTCGTCTTACTTGCGTTCACTTTCATTCCCTTTTCTTTTAATGTCCTGTTCATTAATGTAACCATCATTTGCAACTCGGCTGCCGACGACGCAAGTATGACTTGATCATCGGCGTACAAAAGGCATTTGACGGTTAACTCACCCATTCTTAACCCGCATTCTTCTACTTTCAAATTTTCCAAACAATTGTCCATAAATAGGTTGAACAACCACGGGGAAGCCACACAGCCCTGTCTGACACCTTTATGGATGCCAAACCAGTCCGAGTAGGCCCCGTTGATCCTGACACAAGCACTAGAGTCCCTATATATAGACTTCAATGCCTGTATCAGACTAGCGCTCAACCCAAATGAGTTCAGTGTTTGCCATAACATATCCCTGTCCACTCTGTCATAAGCCTTCTCCAAGTCCATGAACGCACAAAAAACTTTTTGGTTTTTGGCCAAAAACTTCTCCGCGATCATGCTCATGGAAAAGACCTGATCCGTACATCCCATTCCCTTTCTAAATCCCGCTTGTACATCCCAAATTTTTCTATCAGTTTCTTTCATAACTCTTTCAATTAGTACCTTTGGGACTATCAAGGGTTTGCACCAGTCTGCCGGTACCCGCTTAAGTTCCTAACATAAATTAAACAAGGTGTACAGCAGGTCTGCCACCACTCCTTCTCCAGCCCTCAGCATTTCGAGAGATACTCTATCATAACCGGCTGCTTTACCTGCTTTCATACTTTTCATTGCTTTCATTATTTCATCTATACTTATATCTCTATCTATTTCCTCTTCTTTCGGAATTTCTATTTCATTTAATTCAAACGTTTCATCACTCATAAACAAGCTTTCAAAGTATTCCTTCCATCTCCTTAAATTCAAAACTTCGTCATTCAGAATACAGCCATTCTGGTCTCGTATAGCATTCATTCTAGGCTGTTTTGAATGTCCCCTGGTAGTTCTTACGAGTTTTCAGAACATTTTAATGTTTGCCTGGAAGTTATCCGATATTCTTCTATCATTCTTATCCGTTCTTTCTTGCTTTTTCCTTTCCACTACTACTTTGGTTGCTAGTAAATCTAGCCATGCTTTCTTCTTTGCTTCAACTTCCATCCGTACCTCATCATCCCACCATAACGTGTTATTTTTCCTTTCATTCGTTCTCTTTCTTACACCACATACTTCTGTAGCTGCATCCACTAAACCTTTCTTGACATTATACCACACTCTCCAAGTCTAAATCATTCATAAACAATTCAGCCATACCACTTATATTTTCTCTCAATCTACATTTGAACTTCTCTTTCACACCTTCATCTTGTAACCTCTTTGTTCTTATACGCTGTAACGCAGTGGTAGACATAGATGTCCGATGCTTCCAACGTCTGAAAAGACCATTAATTCGGCATAAGACCAAGTAATGATCCATCCCTACGTTAGAGCCCCGGTAAACCCTTGTATCTACCACCGCGCTCCTCATTCTTTCATCAACAATTATGAAATCTATCATACTTCTATCATCACCTCTTTCTAATGTATACGTGTGAATCTTCTTATGACGAAAGAAAGTGTTCGTCACAAAAAGATTCTTTGCCACGCATACGGCGAGAAGGCTTTCACCATTCTCATTTATACTTTCATCACCAAACGTTCCCAATATCCTTTTATAACCAAGCCTCCTCACCCCAACCCTTCCATTAAAATCGCCTAATATCACAATATTTTCATTAACCTTGCATTTCATTAGCACCATCCTTACCAACTCCCAAAACTGCTCTCGGATATAAGTGAGCTTAGACATGTCTGGGGCGTAAACCCCTAAAACAAACAACTTCTTTAAGCCCACTTTCATTCGTATCCATAGAGCAGTCTCGGGCTTACACATTCATACTCTTTCACACAATGACCCATTCTTTCTGAAAGGATGATACCGACTCCCTGGCATACCCGCTCGGTCTCGTCTACACCAGACCAGTACGCGGTATACATGCCATGTGTAGTGGCATCCTTTCCCTTCCGTTTCGTCTCATTTACACATAACACGTCTATTCCTCTATCATACATCATATCGCATACTTCATCCATCTTATCATTCATTCCTCCACATACATTCAATGTAGCCAGACGGGCTTCCGCAATCCACTTTTCGCCCCTCCGGGGGACAGAACGTGACGGGTGGCGAACCTCATAGCCGGTTTTCCTCCCGGAGATTCTTCGCACCCCTGCCCCATTAAAGAGGCGCCGCGAACTCGGGGCCACTTCGTTAATTTTTTGCCTCATGGTGCGAAAGTAAGGTGTGGTATTTTTTACGCCACTACCACACGGCGAGGAGCCGAGTCAGTTCTTTCGGCTTTGTCACTTGTTTAGCACCACCCGGGGGACACGTGTAGGGTGGGCCTAGGATTAGGTGGTCGAAGCCTACTAATTCATAATTACTTTATGTGCCATAGAATAGACTGGCCTATTTATTATCTTTATAGTTTATGAAATGTACGTTGGTGGGTCTGTTAGTGATCGCCAATTTCTGAATATCCTGCAAGATTTAGATCGTAACTAAACAATATAATTTTTTTAAAGGTTAATTTCTATTCTAAAATCCGTAAGGTGTCAGTGTAGTTATTTTATTTACAAGTTCTATATTTATAGACCAAAATTACTCGTATCATCCATATTATATTATTTTGGTTTATAACCAAAAAAAGAAAATCACAACGTTTAAACCGCCGTGATCGATTATATATTGACACTAAAAGTCTAGAGTGAATTCGAATTGAAACTCATCGCGCGCTACCGAAAAAGGCAAAACAACATCTGCCAAGTCAGCTGATTTCACTTAAAATAATATATTATTGTTTGTTAACAGATTAGAAGTGAGATACATATTGAAGACTTCTTTTATTAAAGGGTTCTCAACTGCACTGAGTGTTTTCTCGGAGCGTTTCATCCTATTCGCAGCAGTCGTAACATTCGTATTGATGGGCGGTAATATACGAGCCGAAATAACATTTTCTCTAGTGCAATACTTCAATCTTTTGCAACTTGCCTGCAACATATTTTTTCCTCTGGCTCTTACATTTTTGGCGGAATCAAAGGTCTCCGTTCGAAGATTAGAGGTATTTTAAACAATCGTGTACAAATTAAATATAATATCCTTTTACTAACGATCAAAAGATATTATATTTTTATTAATTCTTTTTCTAGGAATTCCTCTCGTTGGATGAATTAAAATCACATAAAGCTAAGGAGCTTTATCACCTTAATTCTAAAAACCTTCTAACCAATGGCATGGATAAAGAAAACCAATCAGAGAAGAACAAACCAAATCCAACAGGGTTGATACTGACCAACGTTAGTGCCAGTTGGTCGCAGAATCCTATCGTAGATACTCTGAGAAATATAACGTTGAATGTAAAACCCGGAGAGTTTGTAGGTGTCGCCGGACATGTTGGATCAGGAAAGGTTGGAATTATTTTTTTTTTTTTATAGGAGAGGGGGCAAACGAGCATGCGGCTCACCTGATGGTAAGTGACTACCGCCGCCCATGAACAACCGCAACACCAGGGGAATTGCAGATGCGTTGCCGGCCTTTTAAAAAGGAGTAGGCTCTTTTCTTGAAGGTCCCTAAGTCATATCGGTCCGGAAAAATCGCTGATGGTAATCGATTCCACAAGGAAGTCGTGCGAGGAAGAAAACATCTTCTAAATCGCACAGTGGTGGACCGCCAATCATCCAGATGGTGTGGATGGTATCGGGAGTTCTGCCGCGATGTGCGTTCATGAAATTTGGCGGCTGGGATTAATCCGAACAATTCCTCAGAGCACTCCCCATGGTAGATGCGAAAGAAAATGCAAAGAGATGCAACATCTCTTCGCAGTGCCAATGAATCGAGCCGATCGGAAAGGGCTCGGTCGTCGACGATTCGAGCCGCTCTGCGCTGGATGCGGTCAAGTGGAAGGAGCTGGCACTGGGGAGCCCCTGCCCAGAGATGGGAACAGTATTCCATGTGAGGCCGAACCTGCGCCTTGTAAAGTTGCAGGCGGTGCGCCGGCATGAAATACTGTCCCGCTCTGCTGAGCACGCCAAGCTTTTTAGAGGCCAATTTGGCTTTCTCTTCCAAGTGACCACGAAACTGCACGTCACTCGATATGTCGACTCCGAGGATACCGATACTGGCTGAGGCAAGAAGGGGAGTGCCTTGAAACTGAGGAGATACGACAAAGGGGTTCTTTTTAGCGGTAAACGCGCAAACTTGTGTCTTCTGAGGATTAAACTGGACTAGATTTAGTCGCCCCCAATCCGAGACTTTGTCCAGCAAAGACTCGACTTCAGACACAAGTTTGTTCCGGTACTCGGCGACGTTTTCCCGAGAAATATTGGCCCGGCCGGTGTATAGAGCATCACCAGTGCTGTCATCCGCATAGCAATGAATGTTACCAGTTAGCAACATATCATTGATATGCAGAAGAAACAGCGTTGGTGATAGCACACAGCCTTGTGGAACACCAGCGTTAATAGGCTTGTAGTCAGAACATGCACCGTCTACAACGACCTTGATGCTCCGATCTGCAAGGAAGCTGGTGATCCAATTGCACAATTTCTCGGGAAGCCCATAGGAAGGGAGCTTCGAAAGAAGCGCTTTGTGCCAAACCCGATCGAAGGCCTTCGCAATGTCCAGACTAACGGCCAACGCCTCCCCCTTGGACTCTACTGCCTCCGCCCATCTATGGGTCAGGTAGACTAGAAGATCACCAGCTGATCGACCCCGACGAAAACCGTATTGGCGGTCACTGATCAGCTGGTGATCCTCAAGGTACCGGATGAGCTGGCAGTTAATAATGGATTCCATTATTTTGGAGAACAAGGAGGTGATCGCGATAGGCCTATAGTTGGACGGGTCTGAGCGGTCGCCTTTTTTAGGGATCGGGTGGACAATAGCTGTCTTCCATGAGTTCGGGACAACGCCATGGGAGTAGGAGTACCGGAAAAGACGCGTTAGAACCGGTGCCAACTCCGGAGCACACGTCCTCAGCACAATTGGGGGGATTCCGTCAGGCCCACTCGACTTGTGGATGTCAAGGGAGAGGAGTGCTCTGCGAACCGAGCGCTGTGAGAATAGCACATCCGGCATAGAGCACTCACACCGCGGGATGGTCGGCGGTGTGTTCCCCCCGTCATCAACAGTCGAGTTGGACGCAAAAAGGGAGCCTAAAAGGTCGGCCTTCTCTTTTGCGTCGTGGGCCAGTGAGTCGTCCTCCCTGTGCAGAGATGGTAGTGATGGCTTACAGAAATTCCCTTGGACAGCCTTGGCGAGAGACCAGAATGCACGGGTTCCCGAAGGAAGGCGAACTAGTTTCTCGCCAATTCTGCCTATGTGCTCTGACTTTGCCTTGGCAATAACTCTTTTGAAGGACCTGGAGGCGAAGTTATACTTCTTTTTAAGTGTGCTGGTGTTTACATCCCGAGTCACCGAAGCCGCAGCCCAGGCTTGATAACACTCCTGCTTTCTGCGCAATGCAGTCTTACAGGAGCGACCAAACCAAGGCTGAGACCTGCCTCCGATGGGTACCACAGATGATGGAATAAATAGTTCCATTCCCTGTAGCACCACATCAGTGACAGAGTCAGCAACAGCGCTGGGATCATCCGGCGAGAAGCAAACCCGCCCCCATGGGTAGGATGCAAAGAAAGACCGCATTCCGTCCCAATCCGCCGACCTGTAATGCCAAACACGGCGGCAACCTGCAGAACGCAACCGCGAAGGGAGCGTGAGTGGCACCATACTCCGGATCAGACAATGGTCCGAAGAGCCGAGAGGGGCATCGACGGAAACCTGATATCCGTCCGGATGAGAGGTCAGCAGAAGGTCCAACAGGGAAGGTGTATGATCCTCCACATCTGGAATCCGCGTAGGCGAAGTAACCAGTTGTGTCAGACCATATGCCAAAGCAAAGTCATAAACAGATCTCCCCGCATGATCGGTTAAACGTAAACCGAGCCATTCGGCATGGTGGGCGTTAAAATCGCCAAGGATCACGATCTCTGCGGATGGGACCTGTTGTAGCAAGGAATCTGTAGCCATTTGGACGTGGTCGATGAGTCGGTCTGTTTCGGCATTACCGCTATGGGACCTATAGAGGCACCCGTAGACGCGCGGATGGTCGTCGCTGTCTACGCGTAGCCAAAGGATGGACAGGTCCGAACCTTCAAGACTGCCGAGGCGTCGAGAACAGATGTCCTCTCTGACATACACGCAAACTCCAGCCCGAGGCACAAAGGAGTGCTCCAATTTGTACCCCGGGCAGGAGAGATACGAAATATCAGCCGGAGAGGAAACCTGCGTCTCGGTCAAAAAGAGCAAGGCCGGCTTCGCCGTCTCGAGATGGTAGTGGACGGCGTTTAGGTTAGAGTGAAGTCCCCTGATGTTGCAGAAATTCACGGATAGCGTGGCAGGGGTCGCCTTGGTATTGTTGCTCAGTTTGCCCCAAGCAGTTTTGTTTTTGAGCGGAATTTTGCCCCCCCCCAGAATACGCGGGGCAGCCTGAGCACCCACGCTCAGGATTGGAATAACATGGTCGTGGATGCTCAGCGAGGGATTCTCCAGGGGTACTGGTACCCTCCTGGGGTGGTCTACTTTGTAATTCCGCTACCATGTTGATGGGGGGGGGGGGGAATTGGGCCTCCGGCCACCTGCATTCACCAGACGAAACGCAGAAGCAGAGCCTCTACTTCACGCCGGTATTCTGTGAGGTCGTGGTACCAACCCGGCTCGAGCCTGCCCATACGTGCAACAGCAAAAAACTGCTGCGGGGCTCTACCACCGTTAAGAATAAAGGTTGAATGATTTTTAATAAATTCTAAATATAAAACATAATTATATTTTTTCGAAAGAGAATCTATTTTACACCAAAGTCTATTAATTTTAGTATTATCAACAGCAAAACTTTAATTCTTATTTTTTTACAGTCAAGCCTGTTGCAACTAATTCTGGGTGAGTTAGAACCATTGCACGGGACCATATGTTTGGGCGGTGCGCGAATATCGTACGCAAGCCAGGAGCCGTGGCTATTCGTTGCTACTGTGCGTCAGAATATTCTGTTTGGACTGCCCTACGATCGCGTGCGTTACAAAAAGGTAATAATAATAGTCCAGTCAAATTAGCGGTCAACATCGGAATAAGAGATTTGAGTTGATTTTTTTTTTTGAATTTTCGTATATACCTCCATTTTGACGTTCTAAAATTTGTCGCAAATCTCATGAGTTATTCAATGTCAAAGGTCAAAAATAGATAAAATAATATACTTAATTAGCACTTAATTAATTTTACTTAAAATCTACTTTCAATAAATTAAGATATACAATAAGTATTTCACTTAATGAGTTTTTAATTAGACAAATTAAGTAAGTAGTACTAAATGAATATATATTAAGAATATGTAAAATGTTATTAAATATAATGTATTTACTCATAAATAATACAAGCTATTCAAAATTCAAGGTAGTATTTACAGCTATTCAATGGGTTTCAATCAGTAAATATATTTTTTTCCATTTAATACATTACCTGACATCTAAAATAATTAATCATTAACAAGTATTGCAGTTAGTTCATTAAATAATATGTCAGAAGTCTGGATATTTGGGATTAAGATTTTTATGATAAAACTTTTATTTGTAGCTTAATAACATAAATAAAGAAACATGGATTGAATAATAGGGTATTTTACACCATGTAAAAAAAAATCAAAAAATATATATTTATGATAGATTTGGTAAAAAGTAAACGAGAAATATTGATTTCTATTTATAAAAATGCATTATAAATTTTATATTTCAATTTAAAGATTTTTTTTTTACCTGTACCTCAAATCTGCAAAACGATGTCCGCCATATTAGAAAGCGTCGTGACGTCACTAGGTCAAAGAAGTAGGTTATATGCTGTGTACTAACTAGCTAATTTCGAAATTTTTCAAGTTATCATTACGATTGTGGACTTTTATTCCGAATTTTATTGAAAGGGCATCATGGAAGACGGCTTCGTAAAAAAGAGTATTACTTCGCTTTTAGCACTAATGTTTTAGATATTATAATATAAGCTTAGGTGAGAAAAACTTTTTGTTATATTTTTTTGTACAAACCCTCAGACGAAATAAAAAGTCACTTTTTTATTTGGTCTGAGTACAAACCATGTCTTTATTCCCATATAAAACAAGAAAATAGGAATTAAGTAAAACACTGAACTGCACTTGCAAGGGCTATTAAAATGGCCCACAAAGGGCGGGACAGACGAGCGATTAACCTAATCTATTACAAAATTTGACTTGCAATAGGTACCTATCGTGTCATGATGTTTTGTTTTGTTTAATCGATAGTTAAATATAAGTCATACTTACATCAAAGTGATCTTCACAGAAGTATAGTTTAGATTTTGTACACAATGCCTTCGGGTCTCTTCTTGCCAGTTTCAACCAAGTATTTCTCATATTTAAATCAGCTGGCACTTTAATCCATATCTTCCTCGGCGTTCTTATGCTCGTATTTTTGCAATCAGGCACAACACAAGAATGATATAAATGATAACTCATTATTAAACATTCAAAAGTATCTTATTCCTTTGCAAAGTTGTCAAAATTCTACGACAGTGACGTCACGAGTTGAACAGCATGGCGGCTAGCGTTTTCACGCGAAAATTTAAAACGATAGATTAAAAGTAATTTTTATGGCACTATTCGGTTTAAAAAAAAATATATAAAAATTATAGTGGTTTTTCATTTTAAACCCTTTTTGAAAATGGGTGTAATACCCTATTTTATATGCAACAATACTACACAGTAGAATTTTTTATACACAATACTACACAGTAGAATTTTTTAACTTAATAATTAACATAATATTTAATATTATATTATGTAAGTATGTTAAAACTTTTTATACTTTTGTATTATTATTATCATTTTATATAATTATTATTGTAAGTTATGGGGCGATGTGTAATTGTCAATAGGTAGTTTCGGCATGTGCATTACTTCGTGATTTTGAGTTGCTGCCGGCTGGTGACGCAACATTGGTGGGTGAACGAGGCATCAGCTTGAGTGGAGGCCAACGTGCCCGTATTGGTCTAGCCCGAGCTTGCTACAGACAGGTATGCTTAAAACTGAACTTAATTGTAAAAACCAATATATACACATAGCAGCCAATAAGTACAGGTTACGTTCTGCGAGATATGGCAGAATGCAATCTACCGTTGTTCTGTAATAAGTATTATTATAAGTAATATTATAAGTTTAACTAGACCTCAGTTTAAATAATTTTAAACTCACAATTTTTAATTTCCTATACGGGTCATTCTACCGAACGTAAATACTTTTGTAATAAAAAAAATAATTTCGTGTAGTTTTTCAATTTGAATTGTTAATAATCTAATATTAAAGAGATTAAGATCGCTAGCAAATAAAAAAGTAAAAACCATCAAAATTACAAAAATGGCTAATAACAGAAAGATACAAATGTGACAGATATTATGAATTTTTAGCTATCTGAAAAAATATTTTTAATTGAACAAAATTGTATTTTTGTCAACCCCTTATTAGAAAAAAAATTCCCAAAGAGTACCTATTGCAAAAACTCTCCAAAACGGCACAAGCTTTTTAAATAGTTCCTACACTTAAAAAAAGGTCTTAAAAATATTAATATTTTTAATTGAGAGTTTTATTTTTATTCCCCGTTTTATAAGAGAATATATCATTTTTCCCTGAAATTGAATATATTTACGCGAGCGCGCATGCTTCGTCGCCCTGTCGCAGTCCATTTTCGGACATCGTCGAGGGTGGACTTCGCGTCGGTGTTGGAGCGACTTCGTTCAAATATATATTAGTTTTTTAAAAGTTTGTACTCAATTATAAATATTTATATGACTAGAAATACTTAATTTAGTTAATATCTGTACACTGGTGACTGTAAATATTATTTTCTAAAAAAATAAATTTTTAAAGGGCCCAAAGAAGAAGAAATTTTCGCGGCGACGTTGTTTAGTGAAATTGAAAAATGCATTTTTATATAATTTAGATGTAGAACGACGAACATGCTCTCGTTACTAAGATTTCGATAGTTTTTAATACCTATGTAATTTTATTGTTGCATATTTTTATTAATTAGTTGATACTGAATTTTATAATTATGTATTACAATAAAACGCTGTCTTTATGTGAATGACTTTATAAAATATTATTGGGGAGGGAAATATAGATACAGATACTTGCATTTAGGTACACTGTTATCAAATTAAATCAAACAATTTAAATAAATAAACAAATGGTGCTTCCCTAAGTATAAATAACTATATGAAGACATTCTTGGGTTTATGGTTTTTTTATCTTAAACAAACTATCATCTAAAAAATGTAAAAATTTTAAATTGGAGAGGGGTTTCTCTACGTGATAAAGTTAGACATGAAGATATTCGCAGTAGAACCAGAGTAACTGACATAGCTCAACGGAATATTACAGTGAAATTGCAATGGGCTGGCTATATAACTTGGAAAACAGATAAAAAATAGGAAGAAACGTTCTCGAGAGGCAACCTCGTACAGGTAAGCGAAGTAGTACTCAACCTTTATTCCTCTTCACGTATTCTCAAACGCTTTTCTACACACATACACACGCACGCACGTACGCACGTATGCACGCACGCACACACGCACACAGGCACGCACGCACGCAATCACGCACGTACGCACGCATTCACGCACGCACGCATGCATGCACGCACGCAAGCACGCACACGCACTCGCACACGCACACGCACACGCACACGCACACCCACACGCACACGCACACGCACACGCACGCACGCACGCACACAGGCACGCAAGCACGCACGCACGCATGAACGCACGCACGCACGCACGCACCCACGCACGAACGCACGCACCCACGCACTCACGCACGCACGCACGCACGCACGCATGCACGCACAGTAATAATATAATATTATATCTTTCATTATCTACGCATGAAAACTTTTAAAATCTCTGAATCCCGAGGTATGTTCATATTAAGAGGCTGAATAGAGCCACATTGATATGCATGGGGAATGTTATCGAAAAAAATTGTACGTATTTCAGGTGGCGGTTTGCAAAACACGATTCAACAAAAATTCACTCAATAGAAAATAATTGCAAAGTTGCTTCTGAAAATACATAAATTTTCAACGTCAATTTTTTCTTACGTGGTAGAGCCATGCTGCAGCTATATTAGTAGTAGGTATAGTTGTAGCATGAATGGGTCGGCTCGACGGGGGAAGGGCCACACTCTCACGGAATACCATGTAAAATAGCAGTTTAACCTTGCTGTGTTTCGTATGGTGAGTTTAGAGAACCGGAGAACCGTTTTACTGGAAACGAAGCATTACATCTTAGTCCTCACGGGTGACAACTCATCTACATTTTGATACGTAATCGAGAATAGATGTACATGTCTATGGGCCGTAGCAACCACTTACCATCAGGTGGACTGTGTGCTCGTTTGTCACCCTTATTCTATTTAAAAAAAAACTTTCTGAGATTTCAGTAAAATAATGTTAATAGTAAAATAAGTGTTGTAAGCACTCGTACAATTATGTGTCTCATGTTAATAAAGCTATTGGGCTATTTTGATTTTTAATAAAGTGATTTTACTTTATAGGTTAAATAATTTATTTACCCTTCTATATCAAGAACCCTTTTTCTGTCACTCCTATTGAATTTGACAGTGTCTGCTGAAATTTAGCATCTTTAGATGCATCAGAATCGCGCGCTGACCCGGTTGTTAGATATTGCAAAAATAATCAAAACTATTTATTTTTACTTTCATGCCGAAGACTACCTTGTTTTATATTCTTACGGTCAAATAATATTTATTAGGTTATAAAGCAAGTATTTACAAATTTTTTCAGTATTTTATTACTCTATTGTTTACAGTTATTATCACGTCTTAGCTTTACACCAAGAATTACATTAGAAATTCTTGATGGGATGCGATGTAACGCGCATACTTTATTTTCATCATATATATATAAATTTGGTTTTTTTTACAAGTAGAGTGTCACACAATCTTAAAAAAGTTCCATGAATTAAAAAAAATGCCGATAATTATATCATTTCAAGTCAGTGTTTTACATTTAAAGATCAGTTATAAAGAGCCAAAGTTCTTATTTTCATTTTGATTAATTTAATTCGAGACTAAAATAAATGTGAAAGGGCTTTTATCTGCAATAATAATTTTCATCAAAAATAACATAGACTTCTAAAAGTCATATACACGGTCAATCATACTGAAGATTATCAATTGTACTACAAAATATTTATATAATAAGGCACATCAATTGGTATGGAAAAAAATAATTTTACCAGGTTTCAAAAAATCAATCAAAATTCAAAAAAACATAAATATTAAAATCAAAACATGTATAATATATGTATGTCTATACATACATATAATGATTTACGGCCGCTCAGTAACTGACGGTGATTCAGTATAACATCCTACAGTCACGCCAAAACTAAGAGGAGAGAATCACTGTAGAAAAGGTAATAATTTATTGCGGAAATTTTGTGATAAAATTAAAAAAAAATTACAAACTTATCCAAGTTAATCTAACTTAGTCTAACTTATCCTTATGCGTTACTTATGCGTTACTTAGTGAGATGGCGTCAGTTTTTAAGAAGATATAACAAAAATAAACAAAAAAAAAGAAATTTCAAAAAAGTTCAGTATTTAATTGATTATATACCGCTGACACTTTATCACGCTTTTCGAAACCACGCCAGTTGTAAACAGTGAACAATACTTGTGTGAAGACAAAATCTTCTTTTCAAATTTCCGCCGAGTTGTAAGTAGAAGGCCAAATAGGTCATGTGTCAATATCAGTTAAATATATTTTATATGAAGTGATCTTGACTACGTTTCATCAATTAACTATTGTTAAAAATTAAAACAGGAATTTTACAATTGCGTTTACAAGAAACATTATTAGTTGAACCTTGCAGCTTGTTCATTATTTTTATTATAAATACCTATAAATGTATATATTATTAATAAATAGTTCCCATAATATTTTGTATTATTTTTTATTTTGCCCTATCTGCAATGTTCTACGCTCTATAGAAAATGTGGCGTATGACATGACTGACAATCTTTCGAACGTTTTATCTAGGTACAAAAATGTTTTACGTTTTCGTCGCCTCCACATGATATTTTTGTTAGCATAAAGTATCCTTCTGTATATGAAATGAATATAAATATTGCTACAAAATAAAGTAAAAGGCTATACAAATCCCTCTACTGGACACAGGACTCTTTTTTTATTCCTGAGAGGGTTTTAGGGCAAGGAAATGCCCGCCGCGCTGCCCCAATGCGTGTTGATGAAAATTGCAATTACAAATTTCATTCGTGCTGTCGGGGATCAAACCCGGGAAAAATTTACAGCGAACGCTTTGTCCCATACGATACAAATAAATACGATTTAACATATATAGTAAAAAACTCTTACGTACTTGAAACTTGAACACTTGATAGCTCGTGACGCCTACCGGACAAAGCTACAGCACAATGTAATTGAAGATGCGTAACCGCGACACAATTCTCAGTGATGCGCAAGCATAACAGGCAGTATGTCACTTATATAATTGTCATTTCTGCAGTCCATTAATCTTTGCACTTTTATAAGTAATACAGAACGTAGTTGCTAGACGGTGTTGACGTCGGCTAAAACCTCTGCGATCGCCGTTTCATCAAGGTCATTCAGGCTAGTTAAAGCCTTAACAGAGATGACGTTATCTGGACGAAACACTGTTTAGAAGAAAAATACAAGTCAAGTTTCAAGGTCATTTGGCTGTGTTCTTAAAATAAACATTGAAGCACCAAAACTAATGGTCAAACGATTTTTGATATTTGTAATTACCTTTTATGATGTTAACAGGATTGATGCATGAACTTTTGCAATCGTATAATCACCTAATAAAGGATTTGTATATAATAAAAACAAAAACCCAACGGGTGCGTAATTCTTGTTCAACTTAAGTGACCACACAAAATAAATAATAGTTGACAGGTGAACTGCGTGCTAGTAGGTAACTATTATAGGTACCTAATTAATTACTGCAAAATAGTTTTACGCAGATTTTAAACAAAAATTACCTTAGTTCACAGCTATGACAAATTTTGGATACGCAAGTAGAATTAACGAAACAAGATTACATATCGAAGCTATTTTTTCTGTTCATAAGCTTTTGAAATACACCGTAAAACATTTCCGTTGTTTACCAAATCAGCAAATTTTCTTATTTTATATATACTTTTTAGTGAGCCTAAAACCTGGAAACACTTATTGGATACGTGCTCACAGGATATGATTATGACTGTTTAAAGCTTTTTTAAAATGCCGCAAAACATTAAATGATAGTGTTTATTAGTAATACATATTTAATAAATAATATGTATTTAATTTTAGTTTAATACACCGAAATAATATCTTAAACATAGTTTAGATTGTTTTTACTTGACGATACTATAAATTAACTGTAGAAAAGAATGACGCATACCTACTAAAAATGATAAAAAAATATATGGTAGTGTTTTGTAATGTTGATATTATCATGTTATAGGTATGTATTGATTAAACGAAGCAATTAACCTTCAGAACTAAGCGGAAACGATTTTTTTTTGAGTACATGATAAGTACGTAATATTTAGGATGTAGCTACTTATATCAGTGAAATTTTTCAAACTAATTTTTTGTTTAATTTTATATAAGGATTCGATATCTTCTAAATAATATTACCTAGAGTGTAAACTGTAATTATGGTTCAATTAGCACCACGTACCTACTCATACATATCAATATAGTCTATTAGTTGTTTTGGCAATTTACGCAGTTAGGTACATTGTTCAAACACAGTTTTCGATAATTGTCTCGTAATTTTTACAGCTAGTTAAATTAATAGATAACCACCGAGTAGTAGGTGCTCTTAGAGTAATTACATTTCTTATATAGGTATGTAGGTATGCATAGAGGGAACTTACAATTCTACATAAATTTATTCAATATATCTACTTGTCTCGCTTTTCTCATTTAACTTTGAATTATGGCAAGAACAGTGTAATTTATTCGTAAAGCTTGATTGATATGTGGTCATTTTCGGTCTCTTTGTACTATACGAAATATGAGTGTAAGTACTTACATCATTATCTAATTATACACACTGATTTACCACTTGCTCAGCGGAAAACAAAACCGCCTAGAAAGCTATATCTGCTTGAATGAAAATATTTCGGAATCATGAAATAAGGCCATGATCTTGATAATGCCGTGTAGCGGCGGCGTGAGAGAATACCGGGAGTATCGTAAAAGACGACAGAGGGAAATAAAATAGGAGATAAGCAGCAGTATCTTTCTGATAACAATTCAAAGTAATAAAAAATTGTGGTTGCCAATTCACTTGCTAATTGAGGGAACTACAAGAGTTTGGTTCTTATTTTAGCATTTCCTCTATGCTAGTAATAATAACTCCGAGTAGGTGCTACAAACCATAGCTGTACTCTCTTTATATTGCGGCCGTAGTGAATAAGGGTTGCCACCCGTAATTTATAAAGTGTTGTAGGTTATTTCCATAGGGAAACATGGGCCACCAGCGGACCGGAGGGGAGTAGCCATTAGCAGGCGTTCCCCTCTGTCAAATTATAATTCCACGCGGCCCTGTGCACACAGTAAAACTGTAGAATCCGTACTATTCACTAGACTAAATTTAGTTGCGCGGCTGTCTCTACAAAAATGCCGAATTGTTAAGTTTTTTGCTGCAAAAAGAGATCTGTCTCGTCAAATTTGCAAAAAGATAAATATTGTTGATAGAGGAAGATCGAAGAACCCTACTATGACAAGAAGAGAGATACTGATCCTTGAGGTACTTGTAATAAGGCGAAAAATCATTTAGAATTGAAAAAAAAACTAAAATTCTGGAGTTGCGCCTTTGCCTTATGTTGAGCCACTTAAACTGAAATCTATATTGAGAAATATGGTCATACTTCCGCAGACCAAAAATAAATCTAATACAGTTATTAAGCAGACGCTCCAGATCGTTAAATAGTTTTTTTGGCCAGGTAACTCGATCGTGAGTGTGGCAAAAAAAATCTGATTAAAAAACTATTTTGCTATTTAGAGATGTTAAAAAAGAAGGCTTTAAGAATCCTGAATGACCTTAACGAAACGGCGACCGCAGAGATTTTATCCTACGTCAACACCATCTAGCGACTACGTTCTGTATTACCACATGAGTAAAGAAACCGTACCGTACAGAGGCAAAGCTTCCTACAACCGCGCTATGATAATTACACTACTACATACTAAATGCGCGTGAGTGCGTGAGCACTGACGATTCGTCACGTACAGACAGAAACTGCTCTAAACCGGCTCGACAATTGCTCAAAACTCAGGATGATGCAAAGAATAATGTGTAAAATTTTGTGTTTCAAAGAATTATTATACTTACGTATAAGTGATTGAATAGTTATTTTTATTATGTTTATAATTTAATAATTGCGTTTGTAAATTAAAAACGTAGGTTCATGTTTTTTATTACAATTTCAGACGACAAGAGTGGCTAAAAGCTGTCGAACGAGAAGATCTCCTTTCAAAACTTTTTGATTATAAAAAAAAGGCAATAATATATAATCTGTGAGGATCACTTCGCAAAATCCTGTATTAAGTTTACTAAAAAAACTTTTCCAACTCTCAACTTGCCAACAAATGACGGTGCTTATTCGAGTTCCAGCCAATGTGAGAATGTATCTGAAATGAATGTATGAATTGCTTGACGAAAAATTTCGCGAATATTTTTACCTCGTAAGAAACATTGTAAATATTGGTATTGAAATATTAAAACGCGTGCACGGTTGTATATTTGTTTTGCCATGTGAGTGCTTTCCAATAGATTATTTAAAAAAAAACTACATTAAATTATAATTTACTTTTTTATTAAAAAGCACAACAAATTACTCCTTAAAAGCTTTGCCTCTGTATGGTTTCTTTAATCATGTGGTATTACTTAGAAAACTGCAAAGATTAATAGACTGCAGAGGTGACAAGGATATAAGTGATATAGTGCCTACTATGCTTGCGCACCACTGAGACTTATGTCGCGGTTAAGCATCTTCAATTACATTGCACGGTGTGATGTTGTAGATTCGTCCGGTAGGCATCACGAGCTATCTCAAGTGTTTAAGTAAGCAAGAGTGTTTATTATATTTGTTGAATCGTATTTATTTGTGTCGCATTAGTAGCTCTGAGTCTAAGAAATCGCTGTAAATTTCGCCCGGGTTTGATCCCCGGCAGCACCAATGAAAATTTTAGCACCAAGAATTTCTAATGTATTATAATTTCTAATGTTCATTTACAACATTTAACCGTAATAAAATGAACAAGATAGTCTTCAGCATAAAAGTAACTTAAATGCGTGAACGCGTGCGTGCGTGCGTGCATGTGTGTGAGTGAGATAAGCGTATGAGAATACGTGTAGAGGAATAAAGATTGAGTATTCGTAGTAAGTACATGTGGCTTCATTACCATCATCATTACAGCCCTATATATAGTGGAAGGCTAATAATCTGTTGTGCTATGTCAGTTACTCTAGTTCTACTGCGTATATCTACTATATATTCTAACTTAATCACGCAGAGAAACCCCTCTACATCTATCCTCGATTACGAATTAAAATACAGATGCGTTGTCACCCGTGAGGACTAAGATGGAATGCCTCATTTCCAGTAAAAAGGGTCTCCGGTTCTCTACACTCACCATACGAAACACAGCAGCGTTAAGCTGCTATTTTACGCTGGTATTCTGTGAGAGCGTGGTCGTTCCCCGACCGAGCCGACCCATTCGTGCTACAACTATACCACTAATATAGCTGCAGCGTGGCTCTACCACGTATAAAAAAAAATTAAATTGTTTAATTTAATTTTATAATAGTGAACCTAAATATAAGTATCTGTATCTAGATTTTTGTAAAAACTATTTAATGAACTTTTTTTTAACCAATTTTTTTTCTATAAGAGGATAACAAAAATACAATTTTATTCAATTAAAACATTTATTAAATCCTCTACTGTCATCCTGTATTTTTTCTTTACGGATTAAATGAACAGTTATTGTGATTTTTTTATCTTAAATATCGAAGAATTTGGGCATTTCACCCGCTCTTAGCGCCTTAAGGTTGGTTGATATACAGAAAAAGTATTTTCTTTGACGAATGGCGTTGTCGTTTACATTATATTTTATTGGTATTTTCTTTCCGCGCCTTTAGTTTTCTTTTATAGATGACAACCGAGCACACAGTGCACCTGGTGATAAATGGCCCATAGACATCTACATCTATACTCGTATTCGATTAAGAATCAAAATGCAGATGCGTTGTCGCACGTAAAGACCAAGATTGATTGCCTCATTTCCAGTAAAAAGGGGTCTCCAGTTCCCTATACTCACTATATAAAACACAGTGTGACTCTACCACCTAATAGTGTCCAGCTGAGTCTAACGGAATACAACGGTATTTAGTACGCTATACTTTTTATGCGCAGTGTGTGTTCTGTGCTACCAGATGTATTCTATTTTCACCCCTCAAAAGGTACGTCATCGAATGTCGGTCTGTTCTTCTCCGCGGAAATAAAGTCGCGGAGGAAGAGCTTTGTAAGTGAAAAGGGAAGACTGCTTTTGCTTAGCATCAGTCAAACTCTACTCACAAACTGTATTTCATATTGAACAAATATATATACATGATAACTCTTAAAAGAAATGATTGTTTTATTCAAAGTGTTTTCATAGGCAGATCTATACCTTTTGGACGACCCGTTGTCGGCCGTGGACACGCGTGTGGGCAAACACCTAATGTCTGAGTGCATCACAGGCCTCCTGCGGAACACCACACGCATCCTAGTAACTCATCAGCTACATCATCTTAAAGCAGCCGACAATCTCATAATTCTACGTAACGTACGTACCTTAAATATTAACTATTTTAAAATACTGTTCAAGCCAGTCACTTTATAATATATTAAGAGTACTTAGAAGGTAATGAAATATGTTCGTTTGTATGGCGCTTTGGGGGTGTGCCATAAGGTATATTAACATTTTTTTTATTTTTAAGTTTTATGCAAGTAAATATACAGGTCTAGAAATAGCAGTATCACTGCGAGCTGTAAGATCTATTGTGATCGCTGCTATTGCTAAAGTCACCAGTTAAACTAGTGACTATTTAATTTGTTGTTTGTTGATTGTGTTTTACTACGACATCAAATACAAACTAACAATTTAAAAAGATAAGTTTTAATATTTATTGTGATAGCAGTTGAATTATTTATCCCAGGGAGAAATTGAAACTCAAGGCACCTTTGAAGAAGTGTCCAGCTCACCGTTATTCGAACAACTGCTAGAGGAAGATGAGCAACTTGAAGTTGAAGATGATAACACCGCGAAGGGGCGCACACAACTTATCCGACAGCGTGCTATGTCTATAAAGGTATAACAAAACAAAACTTTAGGAACTTATGTATCTCATTCGATTTCTTTATGTCGCATTTTTGTTTAACTTTATTTAAAATAATGACCACCGATTGATTTACTTCATGACTCACAAATGCGAGAAAAATATGTTAACCACAATAATAATATAGAATATGATAGAAAATGATGAAGGGTTTTGTAGTTTTAAAATAAGAGTAAAAGTCTTTAAAGGTGCTAGTGCACGTAAATCCTCGACGATCCTCTCGGTTATATAGGATTCTTTAGTATAGGTAGAATAGAATATGTACATTATTTAAAATTAAATTACATTAAATGAAATATTATAAATATAATAATAATCAAATCTCTTAATTCTTTATATTATAATTATTGAAAAAATATTAATATAGGCTTGATTGCAAATATATAAAACAACAGTTTTCTGTAAAAATACTGTAATCAAATAAGTTTCGACCGCAGCTTTTACCTCACGGTTGAAAAGTACGCATAGCACCTTAATGTAAAACCGGAAACTAAAAAAAAATTAAGTCTGTACTTTTTTTGGCCAGCTAAAGCCAACAAAAAGTTATATTTTTATAAAATTAGTACATATTACTGGATTCGAGTTCGCACACTCCGGCGTGATCGATAGGCGTGATGTATGCATAATATACCTCTAGCCAATGGGCTTTTAAGAGGTGATCTCTCCAGCTTTTAAGGATCTCTTTTGCTCAACCCAGATACTCAATTTTAAGATGCCGTTAAGTCTCATGCTGTCTCTATCACTTTAAGTCGAAGAGACTGACACCACGAGACTTAACTACATCTTAAAATTGAGTAGCGCATGAATATTTGGCTAAAATGGCCAAATACTGAAATGCTACTCAATTTTGTGTCACATACGGGAAGTAAAAATAAATACAATATGTGTGAAAAGTTTATCATACTAATAAAATAACAGCAGTTGAAAATGAACATTCTATTGTTTTAAGACCAGCGCATCGTTACCATCACCAGCAATATTTTTTTTATTCAGTCTCACACCAGTGTCAATAGTACGGTTGCAGAATATGGCAATGAAAATGAGGAAGAACCAGAAGAAACCGCCGAGCTTATGGAAAAAGGTAGATACCAAGCCAATAACAGATAGGTAAATTTATTACGAGATACCATCAAGGTTACAAAATATTTGACACAATTATCTATCTTGTTGTCACTTTAAACATATTATGTGCAATCACTGAATTTGTTTTAGTAAAACTATATTTTTGAAGAACAACTATTCACATAATCCGACTAGCAAAAACAGTAGATAAGATAAAACTCGAACAAGAAAAGACAATTGCTAAAGTCTCCATTTGATATTTTTAATTTTAATGAAAGTTACCAGCTGTTTTGAAAATATAGCTTTCAAAAGGCGCTTGTATTTTTTTAATCTATTTCTGTGTTCAACGACTTTTGCTATTTTCCTTAAAACAGACTTATTTCCAGTTACACCACTATCAATACCATTCCAGCTTACAACAATTCAAGGGACACATTTATAAACTGAGATGGTTCTTCTTATCTCTACTTATAAATTGGTCTTCTACAGATTAATTGATCCCTGACTAGTTCAAAATAATCGCGTCTATGTTGGATCTAAATTACAAAGAAGTAAGCTTGAGATTAGCCGATGTAAATTTGCAACCGTCAATCGGATACTGACACGCCTCTTAGTTTAGGAATTATATGCCCAACCTGTTTTTTTATAGAATAAGGGTGACAAACGAGCCACAGTCCATCTGATGGAAAGTGGATGCTGACGTCTACATATATCCTCGTATTCTATTAAGAATCAAAATGCAGATGCCTTGTCACCTCTTAGGACTAAGATGGAACCTCGTTTCCAGTAAGAAGGGTCTTCGGTTCTCTACACTCACCATACGAAACACAGCAGTATTAACCTGTAATTTTTTACTGGTATTTCGTGAGAGTGTGGTCCTACGCCGGTTGAGCCGACCAGACATTATCAGTAGCTTGACTCTACCACGTAAAAATACTTATTGCTACATATTTACCTTAGTTGCCTTTAAGTCCACCAGATGTAATGTGGTGATTGATTATCTAATGTCACCACAACATAATACGTTCATGGCAATGGCATCAGGTTTGATAACTCATAATGAAATTGTGCAATTTAATGTAGGGCGCGTATCCGGCTCCGTGTACTTGAAGTACTTCCGTGCAGGCGGCGGATGGGCGCTGCTAACTCTCACGCTGTTATCCATTTTACTGGCACAGATTTTAACCTCCATGAGCGACCTCTGGCTTACGCATTGGTAACCTTTATTACTTCTAATTTATTATTATTTTTTTGATATTAGAGTCTCCTATGTAATTGCGGATGTTCTAGTACCTTCCGATCGAAAGAGCGGAATGACCTGGATTGACCTAGAAAGTTCTAAATTCGTCTTATCGGTTATAATAGCGTGCGCTGACAATCGCAGAATTATTTCGGGAACTCGAAAGTGAAATCTACTTCGGGAAGCGATTACGAGCAACCGACCTACGACATCTGCGCTTATTAAGGACCTCGCCCAAGAAGATAACCGATTTCGAACGAAATAATTATATACTTGCTATGTATGTGGAAAAATACATTCATTTCTTATTCAAATTCAAATCAGGAATTTTTAGTTCCTTCGCACACAACGATATAATTAAATCGTAAAAAAATGTTCTCTTGCAGTTAATTGTATATGTAAATAATATTATTATTAAGTAAAATATTTAGGTAATATGAATTAAAGTAATTAATGAGCCGTGGTAGCTTACGGTCTAAGCGCTCGCCTCAGGTTCGATTCCCGCCGATACCAATGAAATCATTATTTGCAATTTTAAGATATGAATTACCACGTGTTTTGCGGTGAAGGAAATCATCGTGAGGAAATCTGCATATGTTAGAAATAAGAAAAAAAATATTTCGGAGACATGTGTAGTTCGCCAACACGCATTAGGGCAGCGCGACGGACATTTTCTTGGCCTAAAACTCTCTCAAAAGTGAGAGCCTGTGCCCAGCAGTGGGAGGTATATAGGCTGTAAATTTAACTTTAAAGTAATTATATATTCTATCCGTTGATAAAGTATAACCAATAATTTCAAAATCCCAGTGTATCAAAACCCATTCAATTACGTCTATAGTTATATAAAGATTACGTTAAATATATATATACCGGATGATTTTTTAACGTCTGGAATCAATCTCAATCTTAAGCTGTATTGTGTAAGTTAAATAGAAAACATTTTCGAGATTATTTTACTCTATATTAATATCAAAAGAGAAGGAAAATATTTGTGAATGAATTAATGTGTATTTAGGTGACAGCAATGCACGCGTATAGTAGTTTTCTTACTTGGGTAGGTACATTAAATTTATATAAAAACTAGCTGTTCCCCGCGACTTCGCCCGCGTGTAATTTAGGGTTTTAATTTTGTTGCGCGGAAACCTAAATATGTTTCTAAAATATAAGTAGCCTAAGTTACTCCTTATAACATGAGCTATCTACCAGTGAAAGTTCCGTCAAAATCGGTCCAGCTGTTTTGAAGATTATCCGGAACAAACAGACAGACAGACAGATAGACAGGCAGGCAGACAAAAATGTTCAAAATTGTGTTTTTGTTATAAGTACCGTATATAATTTCATATGCAATTAGTAAAAATCTATTATTTTGACATTACAAACAGACACTTCAATTTTATTTATTTGTATAGATGAGCTACAACGTTAAGGAATCCCACAATTGGTTACTTTTTTATTTTGTTTTCATAATATAATCATTACTACTAAATAACATTACATTACTAAATAACACAAGAGCTGTAGATATAGCGGTTTGTTCTCTTTCACTTGAAAATTTGGAATGACAAAATAGCTTCGAAGCTCATATTCACACAGACGCACGCACACCGTTGGAAAAGCCTTAGTTCGGTGTCTATCCGTAGTCATCAACTATCCGTGGTATCGTCCGCAAAATCACGCACCGTGGTAGCCACCCTAAAGCTGTGTTGTAGGCAGTGCTGTACTGTTCTTGACGTTTATTTTACACTTAACGATCGCGCTCATACACAAGTCGCGTTTAACTTTCGTTTCACAAAATGGCTGTTCTGAGTCCTTTAAATTCTCTTCTACCCACAGGTCTTTTAAAAAAGTTGTTGTTAAGGAAAATCCACAGCACATTAGCAGAAATGGCGAGAATTAGTACGCCTTCCTACTTATTCCTACTAATTTCTGTAAGCTATCATTAGCATAGGGAGGATAATTTGCTGGCCCACGCCAACGGAGACAGCCAAAATTTTATATTCTCTTTTTACATACAATTCGACTCTCGACGACAGGGGGAACACGCTGCCGATCAACATAACAACGCTCATACGTCGAATGAGCCGAATGAAATCTCCTAATAGTGCAGAAAACGTGTGCTTCAGAGTTGGCACTAGTTTTTACGCCTTTTCCGATACTTCTGCTCGTTAGGCGTCGTTGCAAACTCATGAAATTGGTGCACCCGATCACTAAAAAGGCAACCGCTCAGTCACGTCCAACTGTAGGCATATCGCCATCGCGCTCTTTTTCTCCCTTGACCGCCAATACAATAAATAAAAAGTATTGAACAAAAGTAATAATTGTTTTACTGGCAAGTTTTCGTTGAAGTAGTCTAAAGCAGGCTCTCCTAGACATTCGCGCATTTACCGATCATGGCGACCTGGCGGGAAGTCGTTAGAGGTGCGCCACTTCATAATACGCTCCTAAAATTACTTAGGGGAACAGTTTGTTTTGCCAATATCGGTTATAGAATAAATTGAAAATTATATTTATTATTACAAAAATATCTTTATGTATTTTAATAAAACAATAGGATTATTTAAAGAATTACAATAAAAAAAATTAATATATTATAGTAAATACACGTTATTCGCTGGGACAGTTATTCCTTTTATAACTTTAATTTTTTTAGCCGTGAAAAAGCCTAGATTCTTTGCTCGATACGCGATTCAGTTTAGAGTTTAATAGAAAAACCTTGATATTTTAAAATCATTATATCGATGAACCGGTGAAAGAGTTAAAACACTACGTCAGTCACTACTACACCCTCTGGAATGTATCAAAAACGTATCATCCCCTTATACTCGTACAACACGCTTAGTGACCGTATCATCCCCGTTTAATATCTATGATATCCGATAAATCGGTTGTACCTTATTTTCAACCTACTTCAAAAAGGAGGAGGTTCTCAATTCGTCGGATTACCTTTTTTATGTATGTTCACCGATTACTCAAATATGCCTGAATCGATTTGGAAAATTCTTTTTTGTTTCAAAGAGTTTACTTTCCAGGTGGTCCCATATAAATTTGATGAAGGTCTGACCACGTGTGTTCATAAGGGCGCGTCAGAAGGAACTTGGAGTGTTGTTGTTATCAAAATTGTTTTAATTAAAATACCTATACGGTGGCTATTAGGAAACCGTCTGTAACAATAAGTTTAAAAAATAAATTATTTAAAAAAGAAATACTTAATTTAAAAAAAGAATACTCATACCTGCCAAATATTCTCAATGTAAATTCGCTGTTGGTCCTGTCATGGCATGCTACCGGGTATTTTGGGAGTGGTGAATCCTATGAATTCTATCTTATTTTGTGATTGTACTTGTGTTTCATATTTCACTCTAAAATGTTGTGACAAAAAAAGTCTTCTACGTTGTGTGTTTATGAACTACTACATACTACGAATAAATTTACTAAAGAATCGGTTATCAATTGAGGATATTATTGATGTATTTTTAGAGAGTCTGTATACTCAAAAGCGTCTGAAAACCCATTGGTACGAGTATGTTGATAAGATAGATATACCACATATCATTGTAGCTACTTGTGTTGAATGTATTTTTCATATAATATGGCGGTTTCATGATATGTAAATAAAGTACAATACAAATAATTTTGTATATTACTTAGAATATAGGGATGTGTGCGTCTGAAAGGCTTATATTTATCCTTCCATAAGACAATTATCTAACTTACCTTGTTTCTTTTATCGTGGTACGAAAACTCTGGATTTTATTTTTCCATTTACATAATTAATATTGTAGATATGTAAATAGTATGATGTAAGTTAAATGATAATTTCTTGTTTAATTAAATTAATTGCTAATTAGGATGAACGACGTGGATGCGAAACACTTACGATTAGAAGACGAGAAATTCAATGCTAATTACGCGAGCACGAACAACGAGACAAATGTATTCAAGGAGATAACAGAGTCACTAATCATGGATGATAAAACTACTAACCCAATTTCACCAACAACAATGAATCCAAACCTTACCGTCATAGGCACAATGGTTAAAACAGCACTAACTATACAGAATATTACTTCGGGGGAGGAACCATTCGAACATTCTTATTATATTTACATTTGGACAATCGCTATACTTGGATGCATATTGCTTACAATTGAAAGGTCTGTACCGCATGTTTTTCTTATAAATTTTAAACGCTAAGCACGACAGCAGTGTGAAAATTTACTTAACTGTTTGCTTGAAATCCAGAATATTTGAGCCAAAACCAATAAATAGTTTAATAGTTAATTGAAGCTCATGAGCTCTTAAAACAAAATGTCTTTAGAAATTGTATGGAATTAGCAGTTAATGACATCATTTTTTCTTGCAGTCAAGTAAACAACTATTTTTATATTTTTAAATAATAAAAACCAATTTTGAGACACTTCAGAGAATTAAAATTTAAAAATCAAATAATATGATGCACATTCATTTATTAAAAATGGTGTCACTAACCCAATGTGATTTAAAACTTGATGAAATTAAATAAAACAAGCTCGGCGGTTTACAAACCGCCGAGCCCCCGCGTGGGATACGCTACGGACAGATATGGGGTAGTGGATGGAATATCCACTACCCCATATCTGTCCGTAGGTGTCGTAAGAGGCGACAGAGGGACACTGAGACAAAATATAGGCAGCAGCATCTTCCTGATAACAGCAAATTACTATAAAAAAGAAACACTACGGTTGCCAACCCGCTCGCCAAGCGTGACAACTATGGCAATATAAATAAACCATGACGAAAGTTACAAAAAGACGGCCCCCAGTCCCCGGAGGGCCCGCTATTCCTAGCTACAGTGGCGACCATGATAACGACGGGGCAGGGGGTGTTAAGAATCTCCGGTGCAGGTCCGGTTGCCACTTAAGATGACTCGACCTGGCAATATACAACGCACGCACCCTGAGGACTGACGAGAAGTTCCTGGAGCCAGAATAAGCGATAGACAAGTTGCGCTGGGATATTATAGGATTGTCTGAAATCCGAAGAGAGGATGAGGACACGATAATCCTCGAATACGGCAACTTGTTCTATCACCCGGAGGGCGACCATCTGTCTCAAAGAGGTTTCAATTTTACGTCCACAAGTCCCTCGTTAACAACGTAGTAAAGATTGTGAGTGCGTCGAAGACCTTATACTCAGAATCACCAAATGGTATTCGATGATGGTCATACAATATAATAATAAATGAGATTGACTTCATTATGACGACTAAACGGCAACTGTTCAGTGATGTCTCAGTGGTCGCGAGGGTCAAAACTGGTAGCTATCACTGAATAGTTAGAGGCACACTGAACATAAACATTAACTTGGAGAAGTGTCCTCTAATGAAGTCAGCGCTCCGTCCCCCTTGGCTCTGATCCAAAGTCCCGAAACCTTTCAGCTCGAGCTACAAAACCGTTTTCAGTGCCTAGAAGGATTCAATGCAGTGGACAATATGAATGAAAAGCTCGCGGAATCTGTCCATGCGGTCGGAGCTAAGTTTTGCAAGA